TTGTAGCAACGAATCATAATGATTTTAAATTAATATCCTTTAAATAATTATTGCTTCTTTAAAAAAACACTTATTATTTGTTATAGTTTGTATTACCAATTAACCATAAGTTTTAACGACGAATCATTATAGTTTAATAAAAATGATTATTTTACCAATTACGGAGTATTTAATTTAATTTATCTTTTTATTTTGACTTTCTAGATACCTATATTAGAATGTTTAGACTACGCCATACCAGTTTATCCTAGAATGTGCGTATTTATATCAGGATCAACTAGTTTGTCCTAGCCTAAACTGGTTTATCCTATCGGGCTTAGGACAAATTAGTTTGAACTAGGCTGTACTAGTTCATCCTAACGTGTATAGGAAGAACTAGTTTAGCCTAGGCAAAACTAGTTTTTCCTGAAATCGGGTTAGGCCGGTAACATATCTATAATTACTATTATCATTATATTTTCTTAACTTCCAGTTGGTATGCACAACAGAAACATGTCTAGCTGTGTGGAGTTTACTATCGCTGACTGTGAAATGGGTCGTGCAAATCAATCCGACGTGCCTAGTCTCTCACAGGTTCTCCAACAAATTGGCTGTAGTTACAACTAATAATGACCGTAAGTAACTTAACTATCCTTTACCCGCGGCTTTGCTCACATGATTTTTCCATGTAAGGTTGCCTATGTCGTCTTAAGTACTCCCAACTTAATGTATGACTCTGTCACTCAAATTTCGACCTTATCCTTTTGCATTAAAGTCGATGATCGATAGACCAAATACGATAGTTTAATAACCGCATAATAAAACCTTTATTTCAGTTCACGTATTCTCACCACACAGTTCGACTCCTGTACTGACGAAGAAGCGACTACTAGACCCATCTACAGGAGTGTTCAAACAATGCACATTCGGTACTTGTTTCGATGACGAAATCCGATTATATCTAATGAGGAACGATTCTGTAAGTGTTATAATAATTTATTTATTTATTTATTTTAAAAAAACGTCGCCCCACACTAGGATTTTCTCCTGTGTCGTGGGTGCGTTTACAAACATACAAATTCACATACACATGACACCCAGACCCGGAACAACAATTTGTGGATCACACAAAGTGTTGTTCCGTGCGGGAATCGAACCCGCGACACGTTGCACTGCAGCCGGTTGCCCAGCCACCGCACCAACCGTGCAGTCTTAGTCTTATTTAGGCTTAGTCGCATTAAATCATTCGAGTATGATCAACTAGTTTCAAAACACAACAGAGCTCATAATTGGAATAATCTAAAACTGTCAACAACAGAATGTCTATTAGATGGAATAAAAAATAGGGACACATATATTATTTAATAGTCCCTGAAACGGTTACATAACATCATCATAACATCACGCCTTTTTATCCCCGAAAGGGTAGGCAGGGGTGCTCATTATGCCACTACAATGTAACACCCACTTTTCACTATTTTTTTTGTTATAAATCCCATGTAATAGGGGGTAAGCCTATTGCCATATACCGGGCACAATTCCAGACTTCGTGCTACCACTGAGATTTTTTAAAACCCAGTAATACTTTGCCCGACTCGGGAATCGAACCCGAGACCCCTTGTCTGCTGGCAACCACTCGGCCAACGAGGCAGTCATAATTTCATGATTAAAATAAGTTCATAATTCAAAAATGCAAAATACAGAAATATATCTTAAGTAAATAAAATTCATCTCAGAAAGTTAGATGTAACAAATAATAAACAATAATACTTAGTAAGTTACTGTATTAAGACATTTTTAAATGCTTTTTTTCAGGAAATTTACTGTTTAGAACCGGAGAAGACTGAAGAGAGTCGTTTAGAAGTAATATCTCACCGTAAGCTGCCTACATCCAACTTTAGCGCGTTGTTGGCCGAGCAACAACTGTCGGAGGTGACGCCGGCAACCGGTGACGGGAACGTCTTCGATGTTAACAACCTCGCCGGCTCCACTATAGCACAGGTAAAAAGAATGTGGAACGTAATATAGAAACTCGTTTGTCCGACCCTACTGGATGCAGAAAGCATGGCTCATAGAAATTTATATTCTCAGAAAGCTCGTTTCGCCGAAAACTTTGTTGGTAGAAAATATTGTTAGATATCTCGGTCCATAGAAAGCACTGTTTATAGATAATTCTGTTCATAGATAACATTTTTCACATAAAGATTTAACATTTTTGGCCGACTTCAGATTTTGTGCGCGAATATCTCACGATTGGCTGCACCGATTTTGATGCGGCTTTCAGTAAAATGTTTATAAATACATTTGGGAGAGGGTTTTAGTATACTAATTAACCTCCGCCTTAAAAAAGAGGGTTGACGTCGGTTTTTTAAACGTAGTAGGTATATAAAAGAATTATTATTATTCGTTTAATCCCCAAAGTTCTTTGGTAATTCCTAAAACAGCATTCTATTTTAATTCTGTGACTTAACAACGATCCCAACATCACCAGGCAGTCGTGGGGATTATGGTGATTTTGTTTCTTTTGTGGGATAAGCTGGTAAATGAACACACGAAGCATATGGATGGTAAGCAATCGGCACAGTCCACAACACCAGAAAAGTTACCAGTATGCACTAGTTTTGCCGACTGTTTTGGCGACTGGGCTTCTCTCAGTTGTACAGTCTCTTTTTGTGCCTTTACACAGTTTGGAACAGTTGGAGTTTCCACTTTCCTGCAGTAATTCACAGAGGGAAGTGGAAACTATCGTTTTTTCTTCTCCTCTTATAACACCTTCTGATTCATTCCGTTGCGGGAACCAAGACAGTTATTCATGTCCCTGGGACGCGTCGGACTTCAGTGTTCCGGTGTTTTCATGGTTGTATCTACTGTAGATCCTGGCTTATAGGAGTTGCAGCGGTTTTGGGAAGCTGTGGCGGGATTGTCCCAATAAAAACAAAAAAATTGCGTTGCCGGCCTACGTTATGTTTCATCAGCAGTGAGTGGATTTACCCCAACCGATGATGACATTGGCAATCATTGTCGCTGCCGTTCTCACACCCTAACTTCAAAGAAATTACTTAAAGATCTTGTTTATTCTTGTTGTTCCTTGTCAAAGAATTATCTATCTATGTCGCATTAAAAGTTCGATAAACAACAAGATGTTTAGTACGTTGACCTTATCACCACATTATTATCTTTTTAAAATGACAATTAGTCGTCGCTAGTTTTATCTCCTACATTTTTTTTTAATTATGATATATACCTGATGCAAAAAGACTTTAAAATGCGACTTGGGTATTATCTAAAACCAAAACTAAATAGTCATCGATTAATAGGCTGTTTGCATCCTTTTAATATTTTGCCAAACATTGAGATTACAGCAAGACCTCTTTTAAAGAGGTTGGCTATCTTTTCCATGCAATTACATGACATATCCTTGTAATTTTATTATGATTTGCAGCTTTAAGTCCTCGCTAATTAAATTATATTTCCTTCTTCCAGTTCTCGTTAGCATCACCACACATGGTGCCCTCAGTAGGCCTGCTCTGCACAACATTCCTGCAACGTCTATCCGGCACAGAAGACATAGAACAGCTTGATGATGACGCACAAGAAGATAAACCTATGGAAATTGATGAAGACTCAAGTGATGATGAAGAATCCAGTTCCAAGTTGAATGGACCTTACGCCCCGAAGGTCACAGAGTTGTGGACTCCCAACTATGAAGCCGTAAAAGAAAAGAGACTCAATAAAATGACGCACGAACCTTTCCTAGACTTACATTCTTCTAGTTCATTGTTTGGTGTTTAGTTTTAAAGTTATTTTTAGAAATTAATAAATATTTTAATAATAAAATCAGATGTTTTTTATTCATAACAATATTTTAGACACGTATGATACCAAAATTGCGATGCATTACTTAAAAAGGAACCCTCATTTGTTAATATCATTTAATTTTAAAATTAAATATTCAGGCAGCCCAGTTATTTAGTAGGTTTGCAAGCTGTAAGAAAACTAATTGATTCAGTACAGTAACATTGGTTGATTACCTACTGAGCCGACTAAAAAATAAACTTAAACAAATAAAAAGTTGTCGCGGAGAACCTAACGGGTTACCGAGGCTCCGGCTCGAAGCGCAGGAGAAGGAACGGGGTGGTTTTTAGTCAGTAAGAGTCTGACGCTCCCTTCCGCCTCAACCTCCTGACACCCCCTTCCTCCTGCCTCGCCTCAGGCGGAAGCAGGCATTCGAAAAAAAAAAAACAAATCAAAAGTGTTATCTTAATTAGTTTTTAATAAGAAAGTTCAAAATACACTGGGTACCCATATTTTTTGCAAACTAAAATCATTAATTTTGAACTCCGTGAGATTTGAGTTCAAGGTCTCCATCGCGACTATTTGGGAAGGGTTCACTGTCAATGTCATTGTCAAAACTCTTTAACGCATTACCGTTTTAAAGTTATGGAGGTCATCGATTCGTCAAATTGAACTTATTGTACGTCTCTCTAACTTGGTTTAAAAGTTTGAAATTAGAATCAAAACCGTATCTACCAGTGTTAAGTTTACGTTTTTGATGTGTGCCTTGTGTTACATTAATACACGTGATCCCAGCGTCCCTGTTTAGGTTAACTTTACAAAAGATTCAAATCTTAAATTGCGATAATTGATAATTATGTCTAGTTAATCAACATAAATGCTCTTTTGTTCAACGTTGTTGTTGCAATAAAAAAAAATATCCTTAATATAATATCGTTTGTTTTGTGATGATGCGGTGATATAAAAAAAATAATAAAAAATAGATATTTTAGGGCATCATGCATCTTCCATCTTCCTTCGATTACAAATTACCTACTATTTTCTCCCATTTGGGCGAAGATGGCAACGAACCATAAATTCTTGTATCGATCGATAAGTATTTTAAAATCTTTAAATAAACAATACCTACCCAGTACCTACCTACTTACTTAGTTGGTAACCAACAGTTGAAGTAGGTAGGTGTTAGATATCTTAATTCAAATATTATCTAACACAATCTAATAAATAAAAAGTTAAACAAAAATGCCTAAATACCCACTGTATATAAGTCAATGTTTCCGCCTTATCTCTATACATTACAATGAATATATCTGCAAAATCGTCAACAGAGTGCGACTATAACATTAGGTTTTCGTAAACATCCCGAGAAGCACGCTCACAATGGAATTATTAACTGAAGAAGAAATTAAATCAATTGCGAAAAAACGTGGTTTTAATAAAGTGCTAAAATGGAGACTGGAGGACTTTCCTGATAAAGTTCTTGGGTATTTAGGAGACCATATGAAACTGTTCTTGTATGTGGAGCAGAATGGGACCAGTTCAACTCTCAATCTGTTCGTGAAGTGCTTGCCAAGATTTGACGAATGGAAGGCAGAATACATAAAAGAGCTTGGATTTTTCAACAAGGAGTATGTCATGTTAAGCCAACTTTTTAATCATTTTGAAAATGGTACAGGTAAGAAACCGCATAACCGTACTATATAGGTACTTACGGCAGCAACAAAGCTCGGGCCGTTTGCCTGAAACACCAGAGAGCCAATGCATTGCCGACCATGGAGGAATTGAATTAAGCACAATTTTTTCAATTGGGTACTTGCTAACTAGTCAATTTAAATACTTTTTTCTATCTGTCAAAAACGACACTTTTCTGTGAATTTTGTACGAGATTGTGTATTGTGCCGTCACGTTTTTTAGCGTCAAACAGCATACTTATTTCTTAAAAAATTGCTGAAAAAATACTAAAATAAAGGTCATAAAATCAATAAATGAAAGTGTGATTATTTTTTAAAATTTTATTGTATTGAACAGTCGAAATAATTTGTTTTTCATTAAGGCAAGTATCCAATTGCATGTTTTAGTAGTAAGTAATTCGATTTTGATTTGATTGAATTATAAATATTTTGATACACATACACACTAATTCTTACCAAGATCGACAATGCGAGTAGGTATACATTTACTTACCTAATCAGTAATTTTTATTTTCTAGGATACCGCAAATGGCGTCCAGAACTGCTATTTATAAAGGAAAATGTTTTTGTATTTGAAAACGTCTCATTTTATGGATACGTGATGCCCTGTCAGCAGGACACGATGGGTTTCGAAGAACTAAAGGCGTCAGTTGAAACATTAGCACAGTTTCATGCACAGTCCTATATATATGAAGAGAGAAAAAGTAAGAAACTTGGTAGACCTTATAGGATATGGGAAGATTATAGTGAATACCTAAATGAACCCACTTTTCGTAATGATTGGCGGGACACAGGAAGAAACGCAGTCATGGATTATCTGAAAGTCTATTCTAAGTACAAGTCTGAACCAAACTTCAATAGATACATAGACTCAATAGTGCCAGGATTATATGTGAAATCCGTAGAGCTGATGCAACCTAGTAAAAAATATCGGAACGCAGTAGTTCATCGCGATCTTTGGAGCAACAATATTTTGGTGAAGAAGGAACAGAACTCATCACCTCATGTCCTGATCGTTGATTTTCAAACTGTTATATATACGTCTCCATTGCTTGACCTTTCATCGTTGATATATTTTAATACTACCAGAGCAGATAGAGATACTTGGACTGATGATTTCATAGAAGTTTACTATGCTGTGTTATCTGAAGAACTAGAAGCTGCGGGGATAGATGTAAACACGATATTTGACAAGGCTTCACTGAGAGACGCTTATGAGGAAAGTAGGTTGTTTGGAATAACACAGTCGGCTATCATAACTCCTGTTATAGCAATGAGTAAAGAAAAAAGCGAGGCGATATTTGGTGATCCAGAATTGTCAAGACGAGCTAATGTAGAAACTCGGAGTCAAGAAATTATTGATGTCGCAAAAGAAGATGAGAAATATAAAGCTAGAGTAACGGAATTGTTTGATGAAATAGTTGAACGATATGTATTCCCAAAATCATCTACGTACCGCAATTAAAGCTGCTGGTAGAAGAGATAATACCTAAGTATTTTAATAAAGTCCCAAATTGTAACAATAAAGGGAAGACTTTCATTTATTCATAGATATCTGCTTATATTTTACAATTGAAATTGTTCATATTTATTTCTTGTTGCACCTTATCTACGGCTACTTATTTCTTAATTATGTACGATAGCTAATGCTAATAATAAAGTATTAAACTAAATAAATAAAGTCTTGTCACAACACGTTTATTAATTATCTACTTACTTTACTAAGTATATTTCAAACCAGTGTCTTATCTCAGTCGTGTTAAATATTGATAAATAAAAAACCGACTTCCAAAAACTAATAACAAACGAAAGGTTAAAACTAAAAAGCAAAATATAATTAGTGATTAAACGAACTTACCTAAGTGATGTTCTATCACAATTATACGAGTTGCTTCGTCCGAAGAGATTAGGTCCCTCCCTCCCTAGTTAAAAGTAAGTATATACCCCCATTGGTGAAATATTAAATTCGATTTGAGCTCCAGACTTTCAACTAAATGAGTAGCCGGTCAACCAATGTTCCTAGTAGTATTGCGAGTACCCTCAACATTTTTTTTTTTGCTTTTAACTTAGTGGATGAAAGGCGACACGATATGCGTTACTACAAATTACTACCTAATCTCGAAGGACGGAGCAACGAATGTATAATTATTATTAGTACTGATAGGTTACCCACCCACTGATAGGTTTGTAATATCCCCATCAGAATAAGTGAGCACTGCATGGCTCCTATAGGTACAAGCTTCGCATGCGGCGGGCACAACGACTTACATGAGTTCACTTAGGAGACTTACGGCTCCCTCGAGTCTCGCACTTATCAATATCATATATTGTATTCCTAATTTATGTATTGTATTGAATATTCACAAATTGGTTATTAAATTAAAAAAAAGAAACATCACATCAACAACCTGTTAGTGGCCACTGCTGACCAAAGGCCTCTTCTCACACGGAAAAGGTTTGAGCATTACCTAATCGCCTGGCTTGCTCAATGCGGGTTGGCGATTTCAAACTTATAATTAGAAATTAGTAGTATATTATAGTCCATGCTTCCTCACGATGTTTTCTTTCACCGTTTGTCAGTGGTGTCTAAATAATCTTAGAAAGTACATATAACTCGGAAATAGTCACATTGGTAGGTGCTTGCCGTTGGCAGGTTACGAACCCGCACTATCATGCATGAAAAGCTGGAGTCTTACACATACGTAAAAAGAACACGACTATGAATTCCAACATTTCTTAAACTATCATATCAATTACAGTGTTTACCATGATTAATTTAAACGTAGCATATATCAATATTAACTTAGCGATTCTAATTGTTATGTAGTAGTTATTCTATTATCACATTCATTTGGTCCCGCTTACTGTAGTTGTACCAGCAACATCTAGTAATCCACGTACCTACCTCATTAATTTTTTGTTAAATATGGCGACTACAGCTGCAGAAGAAAATACACAAGTAAACCACATAACTGAAGAAGATATTAAACTCATTTTAGCACATTACAATCGTGGCAATGAAGAAATTGTAATAGAAGATTACTCAGTTCACAATGCTAGTGATAAAATGTTGGGATTTTTGGCTGAATACTGGAAAGTGAAAGTGCTGTTATCAAGTCAAAAAGTTCTTCATTTCTTCATCAAGGCCATTTCGAGATCCAATGCAGCTAAAGCAAGTATGATAAAAGAAATGCGTCTGTACGATAAAGAAGCGTTTTTTTATTCTGTGATCAAGGAAAATATTGAAGTGCCGGGTGAGTTTCTATTATTATCTTTTTACTTAAAATTCTTAATTTTAAGCTTAGTTTCGGCTTCTATTTATCACCTATATTTACCGCGGTCAAGTCGGTAACAAATGAAGAGGTTAAAATCAATAAAATATTCGGCAGGTAAACATTAACAGTGTTCTTAAAAAAATCTAAGCTACAAAGGAATCATGTTCTGTATTTTATCATTATTTATTTATTTTTATTTTATTTATTTATTTTTCAGGTATCAAACCCTGGGCAGCGCGGCTAATAACAGCGCTAAATGACGCAATGGTTTTTGAAGATTTAAATGCAAAACAATATAAATTGCGAAACAAATTCGCGAGGTTTGACATGGCTCACACTCTTCAGGCGTTGAACACATTAGCTAGGTGTCATGCATGCTCAATCATTTATGAAGAGAAGAAAACTAAAGAAAATGGAACAAAGTACAGCATAAATGATGACTATGAAAAGTCTTTGGACAATGGTGGTTACAATCTATCTTCGGAGTGGTTCTATCAGTGCATGATAGGAGCATTAGAAACTATGAAATCACTATCGGACTTCAATGAAGCAGACATTAATTTGATCGAAAGTTGCTGGCAAGATGTTTGGTCTACTGCTTTAAGTTTAGGCAATTATTCTTCTCATCAGAAGAATGTAATCTGCCATGGGGATTTGTGGAACAATAATATTATGTTTCATTACAAGGATGACAAGAACTTATTGGAGCCAGATGACTGCGTACTGGTTGATTTCCAGGCGATCAGGTACCAACCACCTGCTGGGGATGTCATGTTACTACTCTGTTGTAATCTAGATCCAAAATTCAGAGAAGAAAACCTTGACACGTTTTTGAACTTCTATTACGAAGAACTAGGTAAAATACTTGATGATTATAATGTAAAAATTGAAGAAGTAATGTCGAAACCAGAATTTATGACGTCTGCTGAAGAACAAAGGCAATGGGGTCTCATTGTATGTGCCTGCCTAATACCACAGTTTTGGATAGACGACGACCTAACGACAAAAATATTCTGCGACAATAAGCAATTTGACGAGAATTTATCAAAAAATAAAGGATTATTTATTAAGAAAATGATGCAAGAAAATTCTGATTACAGACAGAAAGTCATGGAAATCTTTAACGAAGTTGCAGATAGATATTGTTTACATCGCAAATAGTATATTAATCTGTCAAACACCAAGCGGTCACCGGTGACCGCGACCTATTGTTCTTTAACTCGTCGAGTACCGGTTTTATAGACACAATTAAAGAACAATAGGTCGCGGTCACCGGTGACCGCTTGGTGTTTGACAGTTTAATTGTGTCTATAAAACCGGTACTCGACGAGTTAAGATGAATTCTGCATACATAATTTGTATAAATATAAATATAAATGCGCACATACAGAACACATAAGGTAATAAGCATACATTATACATACAGTTCATATTGACTTTCACTGTTTATTTTTAAACACAAATAAGTATACTGTGCAGACGATACGCTAAACTTGTGTGTAAAAGATAATATTGTATACTCATCTCTGCATGGCTTTAGACAACTAAGTAACATAAACAATATAAATTAAATATTGATTTTATTACGCAATATTTAAATTACTTTACATCACATTACCGTCTCCTACAGCCGTCCCATTATAAGTCCAGCTGCAATTAGGTATACAGTTATTATTTTGAAGGCGGGACAGACCAAACCTTCGATGCAGGAGCCCGCAAAAGTGTGCGCGTGGTAAAAGTCACAGAATGTAAGAAATAGTACATAATACTTGAATTTGACGATAATTCAAGTAAGTATAAAGGTGGATGAATACTTGAAAGAAGTTTAGAAGAAGACCATTACGGTGATGGAATTGGCAGCCTTTGCATTAGGGAGGTACCTAGTCGTAGTTACACACAGCTATGCATATTATTAAACTAGCTGAGCCCGCGACTTCGTCCGCGTGGAATAGTGATTCACAGTTCCTCCCCCGTAGTTGATAGCATGATTATATGTAGCCTATATGTTGACCCGACCTTTTAATAATATTCATGCAAAATTTGAAGTAAATCCATGCAGCACTTTTTGAGTTCATCCCGGACATACATACAGACAAACAGACAAGAATCCTAAAAACCATATTTTTGGTTTCGCTATCGACTGTAGATCACGCCCAAAGCATTCTTTTAAAAAAGTATTCGATGTACAGTTTTCACTTTCCTACGATTGTATTATATGTATAGATAGGTAGATCACAGATGACTTTTACGTAAAATAAACATCGATGAAACAAACAGAAGCAGTACTAACAATCGCTTTACTATTGTATTTTATGTTTGAGTCAAGTGATAGGGACAAACATTCGCGTTCACTTGGAAGTAATTACAATCGCGGAAGATAAATTGATTACATAAGAGATTATTACGCAGTTACCTTCCACACATCAGCTAGTATCGATCGACACTTTCCCTTACCTTCCCTGTAGAGTATTAATAGCATAACAAGTTCCGAGCTCCGTGTCCATCGGTCTGAAGTACTCACAGCATTCGAACGGTTCCCCATTCCATGAGCAGTTTGCTAATGTTTCTTCACAGGTGCTCCTCACCTAAAGTAGATATTGAAGATTTGTGAAGACTCCATCCTAATCCCAACTAATATTACAAGTACCTAAGTTTTGTTTGTTACATTTTATACTTTATCTACCTACGAAGGCAAAGCAGCGGATAAAAGCTACTCAATTGTAGAAATAAAAAATTCGTCCGCATCGATGTTATCTGGGAAAGGTATCCAGAAGGCTGGTAGAATGGCCACGTTACTTTTTTATGTCGTTTGTAAGTAGTTTTTGTGTTAGTTATATAGTTTTAAACGTATTTTTAGCAATTGTAGAACGCACACAGTACTGTTGTTCAATGTACTGCTATTGTAAACAGCCCTTAAATACTCATTCTGTGCAACCTTTTACTATTTTTTTTAATTGGGACAAGCCTGCCACAGCCTCCCAAAACCGCTGCAACTCCTGTAAGCCAGGATCTACAGTAGATAAAACCATGAAACCCAGGGACATGAGTAACTGTCTTGGTTCCCGCACTTTCTACTATGTGTATAATTGCACCTTTAGTAGCTTATCGTAACTTAAACTATCGAAATTACTTAGTTACGTACCAACCAAACATAAAAAAGAATTAACCAACATACGTTCCAAAATATTTATTGAATACAACAACTTATGTGCTCAACAATAATACAATACACATTCGAAACATGTAATAAATAAATAAGTAGGTACTAAAGATGTAAAATTACACAAGGATCTTAATTTCTAATATAGGTTTTAATCAGTATGAGTACGGCACAGGTGTTCAAATGTTACAACCATTATACAGATAACTAGGTAAAATAAGCCAAGTCATTTGGTAGGCAGGTAACATGGAATTAAATGACAAACGAAAGTGGTTCAGTACCGAAATAGTAGCTTCCATTAACTTTAGTACAAGCTAGTTGTAGCTTGTACTCTTGTACTAAATTTTACACTAATTAACAAAGTTAAAACCATGGATACATGTATCTACGACATGTCGAACGAACCCGGCCGATTTCGCGTGATATATACCTACAGTGATAACACGGGACTTATGTCCACACGACGTTGATGTCGTCAGGCATGTCGACTAAAATGCGGCAACGTCCCGCTCCTTCAGTCAACGTCACTGGCGACACGCGTTGCAGTCGCATTGTCCCCTAATGTATCCTTGGCTTTAATCCTTACCTACTGTACTATTTTTGTATTATATCTTTGTGAGACATACTAAATAAATTACAATGTTTTCGGTTTACTCGCAGGTCGCGAAATGCTGCTCATGAATATGAGCCTCTAGCATGGCTTGAAACTAGTCGAGTTCCTCGTCAAATAATTACTTGAGTAAGCCGAAAACATAATAATTTACTTGCTGTACTTCATCAATCTATTGTTCTTACCTGCCGAATAAATTATTTGACTGAATACACTACTTCTACAGATAACTTTTCAACCAACCAATACCACAAAAAATTCTAATTAAATATCTAGGTATTCGTTCACTTTGCCTACAAATTAAGTAGATTTCGGGCCTATGCTTGGCGTTATTTCATTCCAATATATAGGCCTGTATCGTTTCATAGGCTCTATGGGTCCTGAACCATGGAATTCCAAGACGACTTTAGTACTGTTCTGAACTCTTTGGCGCCTGATTCGGATCTCACGCATCAACTTGATGGTGAAGAAGTAGATGAATTCTAGCACGGAAACGAAGCTGAAACCTGTTATGAAGCCGCATGTGGATCCAATGTTACCTAGAAAACGTTAATTGTAAGTTTGGTAAACGAAATTACACACATGCACATTAATATCTCAAAAAGCTTATGAAAAACCAAAGCATGAGAGCCTCTTGTATTCAACAGTTCTCGTTTTCAATTGTATTATTAACTAGCTGTTGCCCGCGACTTCGTCCGCGTGGAATAGTGATTCACAGTTCCTCTCCCGTAGTTGATAGCATGATTATATGTAACCTATATGTTGACCCGACCTTTTAATAATATTTTTGCAAAATTTGAAGTATATAAATCCATGCAGCACTTTTTGAGTTCATCCCGGACATACATACAGACAAACAGACAAGAATCCTAAAAACCATATTTTTGGTTTCGCTATCGACTGTAGATCACGCCCAAAGCATTCTTTTAAAAAAGTATTCGATGTACAGTTTTCAGTTTCCTACGATTATATTATATGTAGGTATAGATAAGTAGATCACAGATGACTTTTACGTAAAATAAACATCGATGAAACAAACAGAAGCAGTACTAACAATCGCTTTGCTATTGTATTTTATGTTTGAGTCAAGTGATAGGGACAAACATTCGCGTTCACTTGGAAGTAATTACAATCGCGGAAGATAAATTGATTACGTAAGAAATTATTACGCAGTTACCTTCCACACATCAGCTAGTATCGATCGACACTTTCCCTTACCTTCCCTGTAGAGTATTAATAGCATAACAAGTTCCGAGCTCCGTGTCCATCGGTCTGAAGTACTCACAGCATTCGAACGGTTCCCCATTCCATGAGCAGTTGGCTAATGTCTCTTCACAGGTGCTCCTCACCTAAAGTTGATATTGAAGATTTGTGAAGAATCCATCCTAATCCTAACTAATATTACAAATACCTAAGTTTTGTTTGTTACCTTTTATACTTTATCTACCTACGCAAGCAAAGCAGCGGATAAAAGCTTCTCAATTGCAGAAAAAAAAAATTCATACGCATCGATGTTAGCTGGGAAAGTATCCAGAAGGCTGGTAGGATGGCCCCGTTACTTTTTTTATGTCGTTTGTAAGTAGTTTTTGTGTTATATAGTTTTAAATGTATTTTTAGCAATTGTAGAACGCACACAGTACTGCTGTCCAATGTATGTGTAGCCCTAAAACTGTCAAACACCGAGCGGTCACCGGTGACCGCAACCTATTGTTCTTTAATTGTGTCTATAAATACGGTACTCGACGAGTTAAACACTCATTCTGTGCAACCTTCTACAATTTTTTTTTATTGGGACAAGCCCGCCACAGCTTCCCAAAACCACTGCAACTCCTGTAAGCCAGGATCTACAGTAGATACAACCGTGAAAACACCGGAACATTAAAGTCGGGCGCGTCTCAGGGAAATGAGTAACTGTCTTGGTTCCCGCACCGTCTACTATATGTATAATTGCACCTTTAGTAGCTTATCGTAACTTAAACTATCGAAATTACTTAGTTACGTACCAACCAAACATAAAAAAACACTTAACCAACTTACGTTCCAAAATATTTATTGAATACAACAACTTATGTGCTCAACAATAATACAGTTTCGAAACATGTAATAAATAAATAAGTAGTCACTAAAGATGTAAAATTACACAAGGATCTTAATTTCTAATATAGATTTTAATCAGTATGAGTACGGCACAGGTGTTCAAATGTTACAACCATTATACAGATAACTAGGTAAAATAAGCCAAGTCATTTGGTAGGCAGGTAACATGGAATTAAATGACAAACGAAAGTGGTTCAGTACCGAAATAGTAGCTTCCATTAACTTTAGTACAAGCTAGTTGTAGCTTGTACTCTTGTACTAAATTTTACACTAATTAACAAAGTTAAAACCATGGATACATGTATCTACGACATGTCGAACGAAGCCGGCCAATTTCGCGTGACATATAGGGTGATAACGCGCGACTTATGTCCACACGACGTTGATGTCGTCAGACATGTCGACCAAAGTCCGGCAACATCGCGCTACTTCACCCGACGTCGCTGGCGACACGCGTTGCCGGACATTTGTCCCCTAATGTATCCTTGGCTTAATCCTTACTGTACTTTTTTTGTATTATATCTTTGTGAGACATACTAAATAAATTACTATGTTTTCGGTTTACTCGCAGATCGCGAAATGCTGCTCATGAATATGAGCCTCTAGCATGGCTTGAAACTAGTCGAGTTCCTCGTCAAATAATTACTTGAGTAAGCCGAAAACATAATATTTTACTTGCTGTACTTCATCAATCTATTGTTCTTACCTGCCGAATAAATTATTTGACTGACTATATATACTATTTCTACAGATAACTTTTCAACCAACCAATACCACAGAAAATTCTAATTAAATAACTAGGTATTCGTTCACTTTGCCTACAAATTAAGTAGATTTCGGGCCTATGCTTGGCGTTATTTCATTCCAATATATAGGCCTGTATCGTTTCATAGGCTCTATGGGTCCTGAACCATGGAATTCTAAGACGACTTTAGTACTGTTCTGAACTCGTTGGCGTCTGATTCGGATCTCACGCATCAACTTGATGGTGAAGAAGTAGATGAATTCTAGCACGGAAACGAAGCTGAAGCCTGTAATGAAGCCGCATGTGGATCCAATGTTACCTAGAAAACGTTAATTGTAAGTTTGGTAAACGAAATTACACACATGCACATTAAAAGTTCAATAAACGTATGCAAAACCAAAGCATGAGACCCTCTTGTATTCAACAGTTCTCGTTTTCAATTGTATTATTAACTATCTGTTGCCCACGACTTCGTTCGCGTGGCATAGTGATTCACAGCTCCTCCCCTGTAGGTGATAGGGTGATAATATGTAACCTATATGTTGACCCGACCTGTTAGTAATATTCATGCAAAATTTGAAGTAAATCCATGTAGTTGTAGTAGTCCATTAGTAGACTGCCTCGTTGGCCGAGTGGTCGCAATTGCGACTGCCGGGCAAGGGGTCTCGGGTTCGATTCCCGGTTCGGGCAAAGCATAACTAGGTTTTTACGGAGTCTGGAACTGTGCCCGGTATATGGCAATAGGCTCACCCCCTATTACATGGGACTCATAACATAAATAGTGAAAAGTGGGTGTTACATTGTACAGTGGTATAATTAGCACCTCTGCCTACCCCTTCGAGGATAAAAGGCGTGATGTTATGTTATGTTCCATGTAGTTCTTTTTGAGTTTAGCCCGAACATACATATAGACAAACAGACAAAAATTCTAAAAATCATATTTTTAGCTTCGGTGCCGTTTGTAGACGACACCCGAAGCATTCTTTAAAAAAAATGTTCAATGTACAGTTTGCACTTTTTTTTATATACATATATTTAATGGGGCGACGTTTGCCCACTATTTCGCCTGGTGGTAAGCGATGATGCGGTCTACGGTGGAGCACGTCGTCCCATAAGCAACCTATTCACTCGGGCCTTGAAGACTGCTAGAATTTTATTATACCTATGTACCTATAGATATTTGAAAGCAAAAGTTCGAATATCTGCAAAACTTACTGATCAAATCGAACCACTTCATAATAACATTCTGTCCGTAGCAGTCGGCCACATCTCTCGCATACCTCACGTTTACCAGCGAGGTTCCGGTATAATTTACGCCTTGCCTGCAACAAGCGCATTGTTCTCGTTCACTACAAATGTATTCCAACTCCGACTAGCTTCGCATCACGTAGTTACTGTTACCTATATTCCCGTATTTGTTCTCGTAACTTGTTCTACTCGCCCGTAAATAGTTGCGCTAAAATGTTCACCTACCTGAATGAATTTATTTACAGTTAGGGAAATTCGCTTCTATAGACATTGGATATTATGTCTTTAATCTTAGATATATCGACTGGAGATTATTATCAGTCTTCTTTTGAGAATAATACCTCCTTGTCCGTTCCCCGCTTATCATTTTGTTTCCTAAATAATATCCCAAGCAAACAATTAATACGGTATTTTACAACTAATCAAATTCAATACTTTTATCGAAACGTCAAAAATGATATTCTATTTTCGAATCCAATAGCACACTTATTTCTGAAAAATATGTAATAGAATAAATCGAAAATTACGTATATCGTCAAATATATGAATGAAATTGTAATTATTTTTGAATATTTAACATATTGACTGCCGACAGAAAACTGTTTAAGGTAAATCCTCCGCTATCGTGGCCCATACCTTGTCCCCCATGACGTTCAAGGTGTTAATTGGATTAAAAAATCAAAATAATAGGTATATTTTTGACCCAGGAAAATAACCAATTGTCAAAATGTGAAGCTTATTCACTTGTACATACGTTACGATTTAAATAAAGAATACGTTGGTTGTAAATATTATCGCAATGGCAGACGCGAATAAGTCGCGTGTACCACTGATTTCCAAGTTTTCGGGAAAGTGCAACACACAAGGTGGAAACACACTCAGAAGAAAGCCAAGCTTATGAAAATTCTCAATACAATAATTTTATAATGACGATCAGTTCTTAGATAACTAGGTATCTATTTTCTTGCTATTTTTTTATTCTATTTTATTTTATATAGGCTATTTTTTTATATAGATAGGCCACAACAGCCTCATCATAACCCCAACTTATCTACCTAACATTTTTATTTGCAAACTAAAAATTGTTTAAAAAATGAAATACACCCCATCACTGTCGCAACATCATTACAATATCGTGCTGCATTGCTTAAAGGCTCTGACAAAATACTAGAAAAACATCCCAATTCATAATTACTTATGTTATAATGTTGCATCCAGCATCAGTGAGCCCCTCGCCACCTTCTAGCTAAATAAACTCCTGTACCAAATACAAGGTGTAGTTTTGAAACCATGTCATTTCTCGGAGGCATGTCACAGAAGTCATAAAGGTTCAATGTAAGAGAAAATTTCGGGCCAATAGTTAAACATACGGCTATAATAAATCGTTTAAGATCGACAGTATTTCAGAAAAAAGCGACAGCAATGTTTCTTATTGGAGTTTTATGGAATTAGGAATAATATCAATTACGTGTTTGAGTTTGTGTGTGTTAAGCCGCGTTATAAAGCTAGTTACAAGACGGCGGCGTGTACTTCGCAGTTTCGCACTTACGGATTTCCGTAATTTCAGAAAAATGAAAAATATTTCGATACTGAATCGATATCCGAGTTACCTCCTAGAAAATGACGCGGCTTTAAAACAACACCTTGTATAATACTTACAGCCAAGGATCTCGATTATGGTCAGGTATATTATTGAGGTACTCTGGATAAATTAATACATTGTGGAAATCATAACTGTAATCCGTCTTTGAACAAGTTGGGTAGCACATCGGGCAGTAGATTCCTCCGTTAACTGATTCCAACTCTAATTCATCAGGCACATGGTCGACATTTGGTCGTACTGATATAGATTGAGCTGTAAGAAGTAATTATGTAGGTATGTATGTACCTATTTAAACACGTTTTTATGTGAGGTCGTGGTATCACTCCGGTCGAATGTAGGCTGTGGTATTCCTTTAGTTGGCTTACAGAAAACCGACGTGAAACAACGCTTGCTTGCGGTGTTCCGTCGTGTGAGTGATTTTACCAGAGGCCCCCTTACCAATTTCCGCAATCCCTGAATCCCCAACAATCCTCAAATTCCTAATTCCCAAAAGGCCGGTAACGTGCTTGTAACCCCTCTGGTGTCTCAGGTGTCCATGGGCGGCGCCGATTGCTTACCATCAGGTGATTCGTCTGCTAGTTTATCGGCTTATCCCATAAATCGAAACAAAGCAAACAAATAAGGAAACTAAACAACAAATTATAACTACTTACCATAATACTCTTGTAAACACGGCACATCTTTCATGTTACAAGTCCTGACGTACTCCATCTTGGGCATATTGAACGGCGTGCAGTTACAATTGTCCAATAGGAATTCCATTCTACACTTCAGCATACAATCGCTGTACGTATAGAACGGTAGATACGAGGATTCGTCGTAGAATCTACATTTCCTCAATTTTATCGGAACGTGTTGAATATCTCGAGACGCCTTTGTTATACTTGCTGTTACCATTACCGTCATCTGTAATATTACATAACATCACGCCTTTTATACCCGAAGGGGTAGGTAGTGGTGTACATTACAGCACTTAATGTCACTGTACAATGTAACACCCACTTTTCACTATTTATGTTATGAGTCCCATGTAATAGGGAGTGAGCCTATTGACATATACCGGGCACAACTCCAGACTCCGTGCTACTACTGAATTTTTTTTAAAAACCCTGTAATACTTTGCCCGACTCGGGAATCGGATCCAAGACCCCTTGCCCGGTAAACGCACTTGCGACCACTCGCCCAACTAGGCAGTCTTTATCTGTAATATTAATATTTTTATAACATAATAGCAACTCCGGCTGGTTTCACCCACTCTACTAGACTCCTATTGATCATAGAGTGTTGAGTGATGTTTTATAAACTGTATATAGCCTTCATCGATAGATAGACTATCCAAAACAAAAATAATTATTCAATTCGAACCAGTAGTTCCGGAGATTACAGCGTTCAAAATTACAAAAAGAAAAGCCTTCAGTTTTATATTAAAAAAATCAAAAAAGTATAGCTATGTTGAAGTCCTATGAAAACTTGTGTCTTTCTTTTCAATGGCTAAAAGGTTTGATGTTATCATGTTATGGTATGATGTATGGTGGCAGTAGTAGCAAGTGGGGTACCAAAAATCTGACAAGAGGGCTCTCTATTCCATCCATATAATAGTACTCTATGGATGTAACATACTCGGGTCTAATCTGTTGTTATTATTTCCTTTATTTATTTCTATACTTGATTTATATATTTTTAAATATTTGATTATATTAAAAAAAAAACATTTAAAAATATAAAAAGCAGTAGCCCACCAGTAAAGGAATTTCCGGACAATACGCGCCGTGTCCAGAAGTACCGCTTTCTGCATCAGGCCCTTGACCCAACCATCTAACGCTAGCCTACTCAGATGTTGGTGTTTATTATTATTATCCATTGCTTAAATTATGCTAATGGTTCCCTATCTGAATCAAGAACGTTATAAAACTTTTCAATTTTCGAATGTTTGAATTCCTTCCTTTCAACTATCCTGGATACTAGACTGTGATTTTATGTATGTTACACATGAATGGATTTTAAAGAACATAACTTTAAAACGTTGCCCATTCATGCGAGTGCCCATTGTTCAGGAAAGTTATTTTTAGGATACCGTAGTGAATAGGGAAACCCATAATTATATTTAAACGTAACTTAAAACGTTCAGACTAAATGTCTAAATTATTTTTAGGGTAACTTTTACTTATGTAATTTGTAACCTAAATTGTTAATTAAAATAAAAGATGCCTAGTTGTTCGGAAGTTCGCTTTTCAAAATTCTTGGTTTATTGATTTTAGTTTTTGTTACTGAATAGGAACACAACTAAAATATGTTTTTGTACATAGCGCCACTATTGTCCATCCTTTTTGTCTCTGTTTTTGTAAAACTCAGATTTCCGTTTTTCTAAATAAAACTTCTATAGTTAAAATACGCTTCAATTATTTACCACAACCACGATTCATATTCCTTTAGGTTTCTGGTAGCAGTTTGTTAATTCATATTTGCATAGCTCCTGGTAAAGTATGGCTGAGCTCGCAATCTAATTAAACACCACATGTTATTGTAGTACTTGTGTTATTGTAATTACAAATAAACTGTCTTTCTTTATCTTTGAAATAATTGATCTTTGGGGAATAAAGTATGTATGGGAATAATGTAATGAAATATTGTGATTCGAAATAAAAACCTTACACTTACTTCAACACTGGGACTTATGATTTGCATAGCAAAGCTGCCACTCGGTGAGTCAGGAAAGTCATATGCATCAGAGAACTGCAACTACAATATCAAACAAAACTTCGCCCAATAAATTTATATATCTTTTAAAGATTTTCAACTATATTACAAAATTATAAGATCGAAATTCTATTAAGACTATTACAGACGAGAGGCTTTTACTCGAATTTCGTCACGGGTACTTTTTGAGGTATCCGATATTTTTTTTACCGAAGGGATCTTGAGAAAAAAGCAATCCACCATACAGTAGAGTTCGCATGAATTTTTTTACAATCCTGAGTGCACTAATACCCCTCGTCTTTAAGGACAAGTTGGTTGCGCAACCAAGTGGACACCACATGAGTAACTCTATAGAGCTGTATACACTTTGTTGGTTGCGTCGCCATGGTGTCCCGGTGAAATATAGCCATAAGCCTTGAGGTAGATTGTATAAATAACTTAATGAGCTGGTGGATTGGTGATAATCAATCCAATTTTATATAGTTTTACACAAAAATAGAAGACAGTACCTGCGCGCCTTGCAACGGTATGTTGTAGAAGAAATCATCACTTTCATTAAGACGTAGCAAAACTTTAAGTCCTTGATCAAAATCAAATGATGATTTGTTGCCGTATCTGTACATATTTATTGTTCTCGTATTGCTTGTTTTACTGAAAAAAAAAACGAACAAAATGCTGTTTAGGCATTGGAAAATTATAGGGGAACAACATAGACCAAATATACCAAATAGAGAAAAAAAAGAGACTAGAGGTATTGTTTTTGAAACCCAGTTATTTGTCAGTATGTTAAGAGTCCTAAGTTGCATTGGGTGAGTCAAAGATGCCAGTACAAGATCGGCTCGACCGGAGTGATACCACGGCCTCATAGAAAACCGACGTGAAGCAACGCTTGCGTTGTGTTTCGTCGTGTGAGTAAGGTTACCGGTTACCCAATCTCCCCAATCCCTGAATCCCCAGCGATCCTCAAACTCCTAATCCCCAAAAGGCCGGTAACGCTCTTGTAACGCCTCTGGTGTTCCGGGTGTCCATGGGCGATGCCGATTGCTTACCATCAGGTGATCCGTCTGCTCGTTTACCGGTTTAAGGCATAAAAAAAACCAAGACCTTATACTAGACCATCGCGGTCGCAATTATTGCCACAGAAGTAAAGAGGCAGTCACAATAAATTATTATAAATGTTAAAAAATACATACTCTTGGAATATAGAGTCGTACAGTCGCAAGTAGTTGAAAGTGCAGCAGTAGCCGTTCATAGTGAGCCGAAAGTCAAACAACTTCAAACAATGAATCGGAGATGTGTCCCAGACACAGCTGACCAATAGATGCTCGCACTTCGGTGTTAACTGACAGATAAGAGCACAAAGTTGATGTTAAGTGAATAATAAACAGTATAGTATCTATGTGGAATAAACGGGCTTATTTAGAAGTCGTAGAGATCTGCAAAGAGTAAAACTTTTAGTTTTAAGTAATCCTGCGGAGCCGTGTAGGACTTAAGAGGTTGGCTAGGCTCCGGCTCGAAGAGCAGTAGTCAGTAAGAACGTTACGCTCCCCTTCACCTCACCCGCTTGGTAGGTCATTGTATGATTATTCCCCCTCAAAAAAAAGTAAGTAATCCTTCTCTAGAACATTTACTTTCGGAAAATGTATGTCAATATATTTTTACAAATGAGATTTTTTTGCTAAAAGAAATATCTACTATCCCATGTTACAATGATCTTACTCATCATCATCATTCTCACCACCACCATCATCAACAGTCGGGAGACATTCACTGCTGGACAATGGTCTTACGCTTAGTCCTTACTCAAGCATGATAGAAATTAATTGAAACTGGTTTACTAGGTCAACTCAGATAAAAATTAAAATTATGTCCATATTGTAATAAGTATGATATCGAATTTAAAAATCTGTTCTGAATCAAATATCTGTTCTGGTTCATCATCATCATCATCAACAGCCATTATGCCCACTGCTGAGCAAAGCCTCTTCTCACACGGAGAAGGTTTGAGCATTAATCACCACGCTTGCTCAATGCGGGTTGACGATTTCAAACTTATAATTAGAAATTATAAGTTCAAGTTTCCTCCCGATGTTTTCCTTCACTGTTTGTCAGTGGTGTCTAAATAATCTTAGAAAGCATGTAACTCATAAAAAGTCACATTGGTACTAGCCGTTGGTAGGATTCGAACCGGCACCCTCATCGGGCGTCTTAAGCCTCCGGGTCACCACGACATCTGTTCTGTCTGGTTCTTGTTGTAATCATTTAATTTTTAAGCTGTGCAGAACCTATCAATAAATAATTATTTAAATAAAAAAAAATAAAAAAACTGAATTAAAAAAAAGTATTTACACTGCGCATGAGGGTGTGAACATCATATTCGCCGAGAGCATAGTGCAATTCCATTGTCGACTCCTTTTTGATGTCTGATCCTAGCCAGTATAACTGACCCAAGCCGTAGAGAAGGGACATCATCTGCTCTTCTGTATAATTTTTGTTGCGTTCCGCTTTCAGTCTAAAACCAAAAAACCACTTAGTAAGTAGCACTGCTACGCAATTTGTTAGAAATCGTGATTCCATACGAAGCAAGAACTATTTGAGTGATTCTCAAATCGTAATTTCAGATCTGCATGTACCTTTACCGTGCAACATGTATTTTACATAATTATACCAGATAAACTTATATACAATGGAGCAAAGGCTTTTTTAAACATACTTTCTTCTAACCCTCACATTGAACAGTGAAGATAATTTAGTGGATTCAATGTGAGATAACTGTATACTTTTACAATTCAAACTTACAAACGCTTAGCAAGATCTGTAGCAGCACTTTTACTGATCCTATTGTTAGTGCAGATTCCAACGGCTGGAAATAGGATTTCGCTCACAGAGACACCCTCAGGAGACTGCGTGGTCACTAGAGGCGCGCTATAGTACTTGTTGAACGTCACCCACACCAGTGATACGGAGCCAATTAGTCCAACTACTATTGTTATGCTCCAAATGATCCTGTAGATAGGATATATATTTTAAAAGGATGGTTGACACTTCAGGTGATCGAAGGGCTGGCTACTAGCTTGGGCAAAGGTTAAGCATTGCCATTCAACGTGGCAATGCTGCCAGTCTTTTGGGCACCCTACCTCACGGTAGCGATGAGGAAAATGTTTTCTTTGATGCCTTATGATTATTTTTTTAAGGTGTAAATATTTTAATTTTAAGTATTTATTTCAATAAGAAGTGTAAGATTAAAAAAATATTTAAAAAAAATTTTTAAAGTAGAAACAAAATCAATGCCCTTTAGTAACTAAGATACGTGAACATCAAAATCTACATAGTATGCACTTAGTTTTCAAAATGTCAATGAATGAGTATGGACAGCTTCATTCGAAGAGAAGTAATTGCTTGTTAATTCACCGGTTGGAAAAAATGTATTGCACATAACCTAGGTCAACGTTAACTGTGTTTTGAGCATTAATTACGAGAGGACAGATCAAACTACTAAAATAAAAATAATTGATGGAACGTAAGCACCCGCTTCTTTGGGAATTAAAATGTGGCATATAAAATTTTGATCAACAATACTAATACTTGTACCTAAATATAGTATTGTGAACGCACATGAATTTATTTGCGTATCCCATTTAACATAAGATTTACGACTTAGTGATATAAGAAGGAGTGATCTCAAATGATGTAACTAGCCTGTCAACTATAAAACGGCAATAATTGCAAACACGCCTTGCGAGAGCCTGCTGAACAAGTTCAAAGACAAGTAAGCAACTTAGTAACGACCAATAATATAATCCAAGTATAATCCACCTATTTCGTAAAACATGTTCTTACGTAGGATTATGAGCACATACCTTTCAATTACCGGAGTGTTCTCGTTAACGAGGTGCTTCAACCCGCAAATCGATGATTCCTCGCAGTACTCTTTGCTAACCGTCTTGATACTCGCCTTTAATATTTCTAATCGGCTCGGTCCCGCAGCTCGCCTGCGCAAATGACGACGGTATGCAAATTCACACGAATTTTCGGAAATTCTATTCATTATAAGGGCGACTAGTTTGACTACTTTTGACAAACTAAACAAATAATGTGACAATATTAGTACATTGTTTAGTTCAACCTGTTTTTTTATTTTGTATTTATGGGAAAATAAACAGCAGTCGTTAAATATTCTATTTGTTGATAACATCTAGCTTTGATGTGAGGTTAATTGCTGTGATTGATCGATTCCTCTCGTGTATTAGTGACTATTGATTGGAAAAAGATAAAATATAATTGATAGCTACATATTTATGTCGTTGAAAGTCGACATCGACAGCAACAACATTACATTTTATGGAGTCTTGGTTCAAGGTCATAATCTAAAATTCTGGTGGTATTAGAAAGAATGACAGTTCTAGAATAACATCATATGCCAAATTGCTAGACAAAATTGACGAAACTAATAATTTAGTCATATGGACTAAAGATCAGAGTCCAAAGATAGGTGTAGGCACTAGGATCGGGCTCACACCATACTTGCAAAACTTATTGCTAAACAATTTGATCATCTCGGAATCCGCCTACGTTCACTTGACTGTGGAATTTTAACAATGTTGTAATATTGCAATGCTTTTCTATTCATATTAATTTGTCGTTTTAAAGAAGATTGGTAACATTTGTGACTAGATTATAAAAACACATTAAGCTAAAGATGGCTTAAAGTGGGTGTAGGTTACTGTATGTTACCACGTCTTCCTATATACTAACATAGTATTTACATAACATACGTGTTGTCCTGTCAAACCAGATGCAGTTCCTGCATAGATCGTTGTGAGTAATTAGGTATGAAATGTCTGGTTTGTAGGTGATAGCGAAAAAATATAGCGCACCTATATCTTATGAGCTTAAAACAGTTTGGCCTACTGGTGTCTGGCATTACCAAGGTAACCTTAAGAAACTTCTAGATTAATCGATTTTATAAGATTATACTTCTTTGGACAATAAACATATAATGTGACCAGCATTAAGTCATTTGAAAGTCACCGACGATAAATGGAACGGTGTGAGAATTTCACACTTTGAACTTATTGCAATAACTTTTGAACAAATTCGATAGTAGAGCACAAATTACGACAAAATCATTGTAACATTACCAAGACATGTTATTGCATCCACAGAATCTGGTCCGGTGGTGCTGTGGTCAGTTCTGACGTCCTTTCCCCATCGCGTCACTCGCGTCAGGTAGACGCCGCTGGCATGGCCCGCGCCGACCCGTGGTCACGCGCTGTTGCGTAAACTAATATACATAAGACAATGAAACTGTTATGCGTAACATTCTATTCAGATTACACATGTTATTATAATATTTTTGTAAATATATTTGGAAACGATCGTTTACACATCACTATGCATCATTTACTCAAATATTAACACTGTTATTGCATGCTTAGTTGTTTTATTGTGATTACTTATGGTTCTTTCCGTCTTGTTATTTTCCATTAGGATTATCGGAGGTATAATTGATCAATTTTTAATTAACATTCCACTACTCTCACTGCCAATTAATGTATTACTAAACCTCAATCGAATTACACCTCGCCTCTTATTTTATTTCCAAAGATATAAATTATTTTGTAATATCGCTAATTGCGATTTCATTGCTTACCTTTGATATTAAGTCCCGTAATGAAAGAATGCATAATTTCATGTTAGTTAAGGCCTTAGTACTTAAAGGCTTTGTGTGAATCTGCGCGAGTTGCACTTACACATGGAACGTGTCATCAACCTTCTTTATAGGTTTGTGTCATCAACATTAACAGCCCAAGGCAGTCCTTTGCTAGACTATGGACCTGCACTACTTGACGGTTTGCCATAACTTACACGCTTCACAGACGTGTTGAAAACTAGAGTACGTATAAAATGTTCAGGTTTATCAAGGCACTGCTGCCGGTTTCTGTCACATGTTAATCCTTTAATGAGATCTTACGACGATCGCAGGAAGAACAGAGGGTATGACAATTGGGTACTTGCCAACTAGTTCAATACTTTTTCAAATTCAATACTTTTTTCAAACTTTCAAAAACGTTCGTTTTCTATGAATTATGTACGCGATTGTGTATTGTGACGTCACGGTATTTTAGCGTCAAACACCATACTTATTACTTAAAAAATTGCTGGAAAATCAATTAATAAAAGTTGTGTTATTTTTTAATATTTCATTGTATTGAACAGTCGAAATAATTTATTTTTGATTAAGTAAAGTACCCAACTGTATCCCTACCGTCACCACGTGGCTACTAAAGAGTATCACTTATTTTAAATACCACCTACTGGAAACGTCAAAGCTCTTTTGCCACATCAATTATGCATTTAATAATAAGCTACATAGGTAGTACTTTAGCTAATTTGTTTGCTAGCATTACTAGTTAATCTGATCTATAACATACCATTGTAAAATAGGTGCTATAAATGCTAGAGGCACGGTAATGAAACGTAAATCAATGGTTTGGTTCTCAACGATGCATGTTTTTATGATGTTAGGTAGTAACCTTTGACAAGTGAAAAATTAAATGTGTTTTTTTTTTTTTTTAAAGGTTTTTGCATCATTGACATGATATTGTGATATACGTCGGTCTAAGTTATACGCTTTTTATTCACAAAGCAAAATTCTTTTTTTTTAATGTTGTTTGTGGTCGTTCTCTGGTTGGCTCTTATTTTGCACTTAAGAACTACACAAGCATCTGACTGGCTATGGAAGCTCCACAGTGTAAAGCAAACGGTCGCGGGTTCAATTCCTGCGCTTTCTACCTGTGTATTTTATCAACGACGCTACGACACAGACGAAAATTATTTTGGAATCAGCAGTAAGTACCAATGTGTAATTAACAAAAAGCTCATATTCCGGTTGAGTGCATAGTGTGCATTTTGAAAATTGTAATTCAACTTTTCTTTAATGTATACTAAGCGACCCGCCCCGGCTTCGCACGGGTGCAATATGTGTGTATTATACGTATAAACCTTCCTTAAGAATCACTCTATCCATGCAAAAAAACTCGCATCAAAATCCGTTGCGTAGTTTTAAAGATCTAAGCATACATATGGACAGACAGACGTCGGATAGCGACTTTGTTTTATACTATGTAGTGATTTCGTGTAGTATCTATCGCAAATCTTTGATTCTAAGATAATGCAGTTGTTTTACTTTAGGTGCATATAAACAAAATAGAATTGTACTTAATTAATTCTATTTATTATAGTATATAGAGCGCAAATAATCCTTGAATCACCGGTAACTTTTATTTATTTAAAATAATAAAATTAAGTGATTTGATTTAGCAATTTATTATGACTCATTACATTACTGCAAGGTCCTACAAACAAGGTTTAAAAGTAAATATTGTTCATATTATGTTTATGTTATTATAGTTTGCCTGCTAAGTTGACTGCTTCGTTGGCCGAGTGGTCGCAAGTGCGACTGCCGGGTAAGGGGTCTCGGGTTCGATTCCCGGGTCGGGCAAAGTACTACCGAGTTTTTATAAATTCTCATTAGTAGCACGGAGTCTGGAATTTTGCCCGGTATATGGCAATAGGCTCACCCCCTATTACATGGGACTCATAACATAAATAGTGAAAAGTGGATGTTACATTGTACAGTGGCATAATGTACACCTCTGCCTACCCCTTCGGGGATAAAAGGCGTGATGTTATGTTAGGTTATGTTAAAAGAGAGTCCCCCAAATAACAAGAAACTTGTAACAGACACGATGAAGTAAATCAAAAAATCCTGTTACATTAGAGCTTACGTATGCATACTGGTCGTTTTGATTACCACAGGATATATTTTTGGTCCCTATAACTACAGATATGTTAAAAATAAATGTTTTGGAACAATGTTGTCATAATATTATGATACATATTTGGCGCAACTTTGTGAGTGGAGGTGGTTTGAAGGCGCATTGACCATTCGCTTAGCCATGCTGCCAAGCAAATGTTGGTCAGCTTCACTCCAAGACACCGGCTTCCATAGATACTTTATGTTATAAGTATTTATTACTTTGAAGTTGTTATATAGTGTTTTGTAAACTGAATAAAGTGCAGTGTTTAATTGTGGTTGCATTTTAAAAGGATACACTTATTTTTAAGGTGAGACGTATAATTAATTAAATTTTAATAGTAAACAATTTTTATAAATACTTTTTAGAGTGATTATTGGGGATTTTCGGTTTTTAAAAAGGTGTAGGTAGCTGTGTTGTAAGTAATGTAAGTAACTTCTCTTTCACATTAGGTTAAACCTGTAATGATAGATGTAAGTGTGGTGATAAATAAATAAATAAATAATACTTAGAACTCAGTAGTAGTGAAGGTTTCCAAATATTTGACAGTTAAACCATCAGTGCTTTTATGACAAGGGTGCTCTATTTATTTTTTGTTTTTTAGTTAAAAGTAAAGTACCCCTATCTACGTATTTTCTATGGCAGTCGATGTTTTAATGCATGAAATTATAGACAGATTTTTTTATGTTATAGTTTTTATTGCTTTTTAATTAATTCCTTAATGAATTAATGATCATCATAACGCAATGTGAGTGACGTTAACATAAACATTCATCAATTATTTTCGCAGCCCATTGATATACTTAATTATCTTTTATTCTTTGTTATCTTTTTATTTCTTTATTCTAGGACAACTATGTTACAATAATTACGTTCGTATTTATGTAATACCTACAGTAATATGCAGCACCAATTTTTATTTAGGAATGTCATTCTGATATCTGGACAACCAATAAATCGAATCTTAGGATTGAAGTTGAGACCCATTGCTCAACAGCTACGCCTGCGACCATTTGACTAAAAAGGCACAAATTAATAAACATCTTCTTAAGAATATAAATAGACTGTTTAAATAATGTGGTCTCCGGTATTTTACGGCAACCTTCGACTAACCAAAGACATAAGTGCAAATTAATATAAGCAAGGCATACATTATTGACCTATGTAGCAACCTAATGAATGAAATGAATCATGCATTTTTTGCAAATTATATGCAATAAATATTCATCTAGACATATTAGGAAATAATCTATTTAAATGAGCAAAACAAAATTTTGCTTCACATTGCTTAATATTTTAACACGCAAGTCAAACTGCCGATGTAATAATGATAGAAAATTGGATTTGTATGACGTACCTACATAATATGTATGTATGTATTCTGTTTACGTTTTTTAAGACGGTTGCACATCAAGCTACTCCATTGTAACTTTAATACATTTTAAACTTTAACAAAACACGATAAAGTTGAAAACAGAACAAAGATGGTTGTTTAGGGTGTTTTGACTCTAAGATGAGAGGTGTTCTCGAACATTCACCAAGTATTGGATGGACCCGCCGCTTTGAAAGTATGTTATGTTTTGATACATCGACCTTGAAGTCATTGTCCGAGAGCACGTGTGTATTGCTAACCGTAGATTGCTCTTACGATTACTTGTAACAGTAGTTTATTAGTGTCAAGTGCAAAATGTTGCAGGTGCTCGGAAAATTACTGTGTGGTGTTTGATTGAGGCACCCACTATGATGTATTGTGGTCACATTACGTTTCGGAAGTACAAGGCTACTTCATACCTTAAACCTTCAAATAAAAGCAAATTGGAAATCGTTTGCCACCACCCTGACTTTTCCTGCGGGTATCGTAACAGTTGACTTAAGTTTCGATAGGTGTAATCGTTTCGTTGGTAAAAATTACCCTTTTTTTAATGGGAGAAAATCATCGAATGACTGCTCCCGCCTGGGTGACTCTAGAGTTTAGAGAGATAGGATGGTACTTATGAATTTTAGAATAGATTATCGATACACGTACATAAATACGTACATATCTAGAGAATACGCTTGCATGGTTTGGTTAAGATGGCAAGTCACAATCTCTTAGAAAAAAACAGCTGAACGTCACCGGGGCTTGTTAACCACAGTGTAGTGGTTAAGTAATTATATCTACTCCAGTTCCAATAGTAAAAGGCAACAGAAACTTTTACATGGATCTTTATGGACAAATGGAGCTGTTGCTTTACTTTTACGAAACAATTCCATTGCGCTTGATTGTATAACAAACTGGATCCTCTTACTTCAGTAAACATATCGTATTTGGAGAATATTCCGTAAGTACCTACTATGTGGTACATAATATTTATTAATTTAGCTCGAAGCTTCGCCCGCAAGGTATCTGTCAATGTTCTCGAAGTATCGATGACCTTTTTTTTTTTGAGGGGGGAAAATCATCCAATGACTTCTCCCGCCTGGGTGAGGCGGGAGGGAGTGTCAGACTCTTACTGACTAAAAACCACCCCGTTCCTTCTCTTGCACGTCGAGCCGGAGCCCCGGTTACCCGTTAGGTTCTCCGCGACAAAAATGACCCTTAATGACACATTTAATAGAGATCGTACTACAACGCCCTCTTAACAAATCTTTAAGTTTAATGTTGTCAACCATTTCAGTAGTAAAACTTCGTAATTCATATCTCCTATAACAGGCTTTGATAGTTTGTGTAAGTAAAGAAGACTCTTAACGTTTGCTTGACAAGTATAATGGACCTTCTTGGCACTTGATCTCTCTTCAGTCGTATCAGATTAATAGTTATTCAATCTGATTTTGGGGGTAATATTATACTTAACTTACATTTACTTACGCACTTTCTTCAATAACTTGTTCCGCTAGCTAGTTTAGCCGAAGTCAATACTTATATTGAGAAATAAAAGACCTTTAACTTATTTTTTCCGAACAATTTGAGCCCATTTAGGAAGGGTACTTACAAACAAAAGGTTTGACCTTCCGTTTTCTTCTGCTAATGAATGAAAACTTTCGGAATCTTTTGAGACAAGTGAAGCAATAGCCTCGTTCACCTCAATTCGAAGTAATGAGAAAACCTATGTGTTTTCTTAAAGAGTATACGTATGTGTGCCTTTACCTGATGACGATAATAGAAATTACAGAGATGTCGTTCGTACAGTACCTATCTGCCTTGCAATAACATTCTCCTTTTTTCCAGAGCTGTAACTGTTCTGTGTTATTTAAAAAAACTCCATAACCTGATATTGAATGTAAGATGAAACTGTAGGAATCATTTTAAGTATATTTATTTTAAACCATTACCATTTACCATCCCAGGAACTAAACCATTAAAATTGATTAATTATTTACGTAAGAGATAGTCTGGGAGTATCTATAAGTAGGAAGATAGTTCTTAAGGTCATTGCACTAAGAAGATGTCTTTATCTACCATCTTAGACAACCACATTTCCTACCAGTTACCCAATTACTTAACATCTTCTGTAAAAATAACTGCAAGTCATCATGACTTTTTTATTTCTTTATCTCACTTTATGCTTATGTAACTTTTGTCTAAACACTTTATCCTTGACTTCATTTCATCTCAGAATAATAATTGTGTTTATTATAACATGTCTAAATTGTCTAATCATGATTATTAGTGTATTTCGAGTATTGTAAATCATTAAATTCAGGAGGTTACTGCAGAAAAAACCTTGCTCATACACTTAATGTGCCGAAATCAATCTTTAGAATGTAGTGTTGGAACTTGAAGATTAATAATGTCCTTAAAAAATAAGGTCTCTGCTTCACAAGTAAATTGACCTCAAAGAATCACAGTACCTATGCAAAATGGTTCACTACAAGGATCAGCTCTAGAACCTTGAATGTAGAATTTTACCCTCGCTGTAAAATTTTTGGTCCACGAGTACTGAATCTGATCGACAAAAATCATGATATTCTTTTAGTGGTTGACTTAAAATAAATATTCTTTACAGAATTGGTAAACAATGAGGTCACTAGTCCTTCTACTGACGACATGCTCGTGTCTCGTGTCAAGTATTCCACCTCCACACCCTGATGTCCTGGCGGTGAGGCAGGAGGAAGAGCGTCTACCTCCAATACTGAGAAGTCCAGCGCTGCGGAACCCTCACTTACTGCAAGTCTTGCCTCTAACCAGCCTGTTACATAAAGGAGAGAACCTCGTGAGTGCTTTCATTTCTCTACATACCTTATATGTGTATATCCTATTTCCTAATAACAGCTTTTCAACTGGTTATTACCTACCCCATATTTTGTACTGTGCCCGTTAATTCGTCCGCGTGGAATAGTAGTTTCACAGCTCCTCCTTTATAGGTGATAGCATGATAATATGTAGCCTATATGTAGACCCGATCCGTTAGTAATATTCATGCAAAATTTTTAATAAATCCTTGCAGTACGTTTTGAGTTTAGCCCGGACATAAATACAGGCAAACAGACAAAACTTCAAAAATTTATATTTTTGGCTTCGAATATATTCAATGTACAGTTTTGATTTCCTACAATTTTATTACATGTAATAATAATAGATGTATAGATATTTATTAACTTTTTCGAACTAAATTCATTATCCCAGATTTCCAAAAATACAACTCATTGTGAAAAAGACGATTTTAACATTGTGCTGTTACATTCCAAAGATTCGATTTTGCTTTACATAATTTTAAATTTTAGCAAACCGGTTCGGTCACCATCTAAATATTCGTATTTGTTCAAGGTCTACGCACGAGACGCTCATGATGTGTCACGGAAGGAGATCTACAAGATCCTCACACATGCGGGTCTTATTCCGAGGAAGAAATTCCCACCATCAGAATACAGCCATAGCCATAGGTTCAACCATATACCAATCTCCATCAACAAATGGAACGAAGCAGACTTTTCTGACTCGGCATTCAACCAAGAAGTCTTGCAATTCTTGTAGTTGAAATGACTTAGAGTGATGTGAATCCTGAAATTTTGTGATTATTTTTATGAACGTATTTGTTTTCTTTTATGACCTTCGTGCCTACCGATGACTTTGTTAGTATCGTTTTTTTTTTCATTAAATTAGTTATGATTAGACCAAATTATAATAATAGTTCGATGGTTGTTGTGTGTTAAAAATGTATCATTGGATGAAAAACGATTCCATGTCTCGCCATTTAGAGCCGATTTTTCAATGGTCAATTAAATTTTATCAGAAGACTATTAACTTTGAATATTTGACAGTTCTTCCATACTAATAATTGTCAAATCTCAATTTTATTCCACAGTTTATATTTAACTGACGAATTTTTCGACACTGGCAGTATAGTCGACAACAACATTTTTGAGACTCGGTTGCCAAAGAAGAAAAGAAAAAAAATCTGACGATTGAAAAACCGGCCTTTAATTGTAGGTTAAATAAGTATGAAGACCTTATATTAGTTCCAATGTATCCTATCTATGCAATATAAATACAAAGACTTAGATTAAGATAGTGATAAGCATGTAAATAAAATCAGCTTTAGTTAAACTTTAAGTTGATATTTTTGAATTTTTGACTATTGGTCTGTGTGGTTTGTTTCTAGTGTGAACGACCATTGTTGATAATAAACAAAACAATTACAAACACAAGGTTTTTTATTTGAAATGGTTGAATTGACCTTGGACGCTAGTTGCGCTGTATAATCATGTCATTTCATAATAATTCAAACTATGTAATTAATTATTAATCTTTCAAAGCACTTTCACAAGGTGAACTATAGTATAGGTAGTATTATTACTTTTAATTTTAATATCTGCCACTGAACAGTCGTGTTTGGGCTCCATTAATGGATTGCAAAATAATGTTATAGTTCAAAATGTCGAAATCAAAGATTTCAATATGTAAAGATTTGATCAAAGATTATTGTGCGAACTGTACCTTTGCTGGTGTACATTACATTGCTGATGAATCTAAACATGTTTCCGAAAGGTAAGATAGCATCGATATCTTTTTATTTTCATTTCACGTCCTAGTGAGAAAATATAAATAGAAAAGACCAAGATGATTGCAATAGTAATAATAATAACATTCAACGAAACATAAGTTCGCATGATTCTATTCCGTTGAAAGTACAGAGAGTAAAGCCAAAAAAATTGAATACACTTATAAAGGACAATAAATATAATAGTAAATGGTGCTGTAGACACTTAGATCAGAAGACAGGAGCTACCAGTATAACGTCACGGGCTTCTGCCCTCGGCTTAGCTCGCACTTTTAGATGAGGTTGGGGACGGAATAAAAAAAAATTATGAACTATTTTTTGTTAATTACAAATAGTTTTTCAAATTCTAAAAAATTTAGAAAATCATCCAATGTGTTCTCCTGCCCTGCGTTAGGCGAATAATTATGTTACAATTAGTCTGCATACCAATTTTCAACTGCTTACCTTGATAAATGCGAAATGCTCCATGCAAATTACCATCCACTATTTTAGGGTTATAAAGAAAAAAAGTAGCCTATGTCACTGTCTCTCCACTATCTCCACTTAAATCACACCAATTTGTCGCTCCATTTTGCCGTAAAAGACGGACAAACTAACAGACGCATACTATCACATTTATTACGGATTTTCTTTTGAAAGGTATATAAATAAGTAACTGTAGACATCTAGAAGTAAAATTCTTCAAGTGTGAATAATTTTTATAAAATAATTCATTGTAAACCTTAGCTACTAAAATCCTCAACAGATTACTATGGGTGGTCCTAGTGATACTATCGTGGTATGGTTCAACCCTCCTAATCATTTCCTCCTGGGATGCCTTCGTGGAAAGCCCCATCAGCTTCGGCGTGGAGACCACTTACACAAACTGGGAAACCAAAATGCCAGCAGTAGCTATTTGTGAATCAATCTGGATGGATAGTGTATACGATGTTGCTGATGCGTGAGTTACATACTCAATTTTAACATAATCCTTATTGGGGTGGGTTCATATAAGTACCTACGATGTAATAACCACTTTTCATGTGTAAAATTTCATGCATCCCTTACATATCCACATGGGTTGAGCTACTACAGAATAGGGTAGATGCCTAATTTTTTATTTTAATGTCCGTCTGGTAGATTATTTTAAATCATTAGACGCGTATTTTTTTTTTATTTTCTTACAGAAACGAATACTTTCGACGAAATATTGATTTGAAATGTCGCGTGACGTCACTTCTATGTACATTTTATATGTAGAAATGACGTTTTAGCCCCCACTCCTAAAGTTTGATTCGTTTTATCTGAGTATTGTTTTATTATACGACAAAATAAAAAAATACGTGTCTCATATTTTTTCATTACCTAACTTACGGACTAATTATATTTTTAATTTTCATACCCTGTCATCAATCCAATTGTCAAAAATAAAAAGCAATTAATAAACCTCACCTCGATTCGAGAATCACACCCGAGTCTCGATCCGCAGTGGCACTTGCAAAAGACTTTATTACACATAGACTAGAATTTATAATACATCCATATATCCAATAAACTTCTTTCAACAGGATTTGGCCGCCACTACATCTATTGGACTTAGAGGATACTCTCAAAGAAATAGCATACTTCCGTGGTGTGTCCTATGTTCTTATTAGCACGTGCTTTACAAACCCAGACCCTGACCCTTTGTGCCCTACATCTAACTACTCCTACTACTCAAACCTCATACGTAGTGACTGTAACAAGATTTTGAAGAACTGTTCCTATAATAATAAAGAATTTCCATGCTGTGAATACTTCCAGCCGATAGAAACTGACGTAGGACCCTGCTTCATATTGAATTCTATACAAACCAAGTAGGTTGAAATGAAAACAAATGTATTACTTATATTGAATTTTGTATACCCACTCTAAAGAGTTAGCTGATTATTTACCATCTGTCCTGATAGGAATCCTCATCCGTACCCGATGGTGAACAGCTTGCAGAATTTAAAGGGAGTTATAAAATTTGACACATATTTTCCCGTGATGGTATGTTTATAACATAACACTAACATTAACACTCAAAACACTTAATGAACTAAATAAGCACTCGATTACAAATAAAATTCTAAGCATTAAAAATGTAACTGTTTGTTGCGATAATTTTGTAACATTTCATAGTTTTATAATCACCTAACATAACATCACACCTTTTATCCCCGAAGGGTAGGCAGAGGTGCACATTATACCACTGTACAACGTAACACCCACTTTTACTATTTATGTTATGAGTCCCATATAATAGGGGGTGAGCCTATTGCCATATACCGGGCACAAATCCAGACTCCGTGCTACTACTGAATTTTTTTTTATTAAAATCCAGTAATACTTTGCCCGACCCGGGAATCGAACCCGAAACCCCTTGCCCGGCAGTCGCACTTGCAACCACACGGCCAACGAAGCATTCTTTGGTAATATTTACTAAAGTTGTAGGAATTACAAATGTAGCTGTTTTTTAAAATTTCATGGCTTTAAAATCAGTCGCAGAAAAAACCGCTTACCAGTACAATATACCTACTGGCCTAAACCTTAGATAAAACGACTTAATTAATAACTTTATATGCTAGATGTACACTCTAGGAGAGGATGAAGTCCCTACAATAACCACACTGCACTCGTCTACCTTCAATTTACTAATCGGTTATAGTTATCGGTAAGTAAATCAAATTATGCTTCTTACTTGTGTCCTCCTGAAAAAAATTAGACAAAGTTTAGATTAACTTACCATTTTGATATTGTTTTCAAAATTAGCAGTTAAAAAAAGTACCTATGAAGTCGAAGTCACACCAAAATCAGGTGTGTTTCGTTTGACTGGATCACCTCATCATATGGTTGAATCCAGATTAGATAAGTACGGGCCAACTTAAAAAAAGAACTCAAATGTGACTACCGAAAATGGCGATATAAAATAGTAGATTTAATACGTTTTACAGTCGTATTCTAACAGTACGAAACATAGAGAACGATCCTTTGATTACTGAGACGACTCCAGAGCAGAGAGCCTGTCGCTTCCACCACGAGAACGAGGGAGGATTGTACCCACACTACTCCTATAGCGCCTGCACTGTACTCTGCCGTAAGAATGCTCAGCTTGAGTCCTGCCATTGCAATGACCACTTCATGCTTGGCACTAGTAAGTATTGTAACTTTGATTGTTTAAGTAGTAAGTATCAGACTCTTACTAACTAAAAACCACCCCGTTCCTAATCCTGCTCTTCGAGTCGGAGGCCCGGTAACCCGTTCGGCTTTCCGCAGCTTCATATCGGGGTTGGTGAATACCAAAATGACGTTAAATGTTAATGTTAGGCTAAGGATTATTTAAAATTTGAAAGTGGTTGACGAAAACGATCAATAATGTCCATTCTAATCCTATCGATTATTGAGGATATCTGAATGTTTTCATATATTCTGTAACTAATCTACTAACTTAATTATGTTTTTGGCTTACGCAAGTAACTGTATGACGAGGACGCGGCGACTGTCGCGCTGCTACTGGCAGCAGCTGAGTCGCGAGTCGCGCAATGCTGCTCATGAATATGAGCATCTAGCATGGCTTAAAACTAGTCGAGTTCCTCGTCAAACAGTTACGTGAGTAAGAGGAAAACATAATAATTAATTAAGTCGCCAACCCTTCTTCACTTACGGTAGTTACGATTAGGTTAGTCATAGTCGCGCATCGAGGAGCCATCAGACCACCACAGATGGGGCCTAACAGGGCTGATGCCGATAGGGAGCTGCGGAAGACTTAACGGGTTGCCGGGGCTCCGGCTCGAAGTGCAGGAGTAGGGATCGGGGTGGTTTTTAGTCAGAAAGAGTCTGACACTCCCTCCCGCCTCACCCAGGCGGGAGAAGTCATTGGATGATTTTCCCCCCTCAAAAAAAAAAAGGTCATCGATACTTCGAGAACATTGACAGATACCTTGCGGGCGAAGCTTCGAGCTAAATTAATAAATATTATGTACCACATAGTAGGTACTTACGGAATATTCTCCAAATACGATATGTTTACTGAAGTAAGAGGATCCAGTTTGTTATACAATCAAGCGCAATGGAATTGTTTCGTAAAAGTAAAGCAACAGCTCCATTTGTCCATAAAGATCCATGTAAAAGTTTCTGTTGCCTTTTACTATTGG